ATAATCGGTTTGATAAGGTCACCACTATCACGTTCTGAATAATAGACGATGATAAAATTATTTATTATTGTGATTGCAAATTCAACCTTGTGATATGCTACTACCTCCTTACCCAGTTTTTACTTTAAATGGCCATCAAGAAACAGCCAGAGTCATTGTTTGTGAATGACTAGGTTGTAAGTTTGTTTTTTATGGAGTGACAACAGTGTTTCTGAGTAAACAGTGAGCCTAAAACATGCAGCAAAATAAAAAAATCAGACAAGTGTATTTTGCCTCATAAATGACTAGACTTATGCTTGTGTTTTAATTGTGAGTGGGCACTGCAAATGTAATATACAGTGTGGTTATTTTGGGAGGGAAACAGAGCTAGTGGTCACAGTACTCATATGGAGAAACAAAGAGTGATGCAAATGTGGGTCTGCACAGTAGCCTTAACTGGTGAGAAAATAAAAATAATACACATTTTTCATGTAATAAAGTAACATTTATTTTGCCCTAGGACAGACATATTGCAATAACAGCTTTTAGGATCATAACAAGACCACTATGTGCTGTTGGCATGCAATTATAATGCACTTTTATTGTTCCTGAACCAGGAAATAATGCTAGTGTGCTGATAACATGTTAACATTTTTGTGATGGCAAAACTCCACTCTGGCCTTTGAAAGTAACTGTAAACATATTGCTGTGATTAATTATGAAGCTGGAAAAGTGTGGAATAATTTGCAAATAATGATGGATGTTATTTTTAAAACAGTAAAATGGAGGTACAGTAGCTATAATATAAAAATACATTTCTTTTGGATTTTTGTTTAAAATGTAATTATTTTATTTGGCATTTTTGTGTTTAAACTCGCAGTATATTCCTCCCAAGTAAACAATATTTCTTGAAAATTTTCAGAAAACTGAATAAGGCTCTGACTCTGACTTTCAGTCCAACTATATTCCAGTGAAGTTTGCAAAGAGTTTCAATTGTAAGTCTTGCCTAAACAAATACAAAAATAAAGCCTGTAGTGTGTCCTCAGGCTGAACTCAGTGTTAAACAAACGACCCTAGAATGGAGGTAACTCAATTCTGCTGTGTAGATTCTTTCTCTCTATAAAAGCTAAGAATTCAGTCTATTTATGGGTGTTTGTGTGTGTGTGTGTGTGTTGAAAGTACATTGTGCTTAAATATGTGTGTTTGACTCTCCTTCCAGTAAAGAATGACTCACCAAACACAGCATTTAAGTAATTTTGGAGATTTGCACATTTTACGAGCTGACGTGTGCAAAAAAGTGGTACAGGTACGATCGTTACTGTAGGCTGCCATTTTCCCACGTCAACAACAAAGCCATTAAAACTATAAGTTAACTATAAAAGCTTTTGTAAGTTTTCTAAATGTGAGTTGCAAGATTACGTCATCATATCCCAGTTTTCATTGGTCCATAAGATCAAATAGGCTACATGAAAAGTTCTTAAGTAGCTAACAGGCAGTGGTGGAAAGTAGTAACAAAGTAAAAGTACTGTACTGTGACAGTGCCGACTGTCACAAATATGCAACAAACCATTTGGATCAAGATATAAGCTGAAATAACGGCTGCATTTTCAATTACCGGTTAGTGCATATCCAGGACCTTCCTAGGAACCTTTGGTAAGCACTTGTTTCTAGTTAATAATCTCAATTTAATTTACCATCTATTTAAAGGCAAAAACACACACAAAACTTTTTTTAATATACATCTATATAAATTCAGGCGTTAAGGGACTAAGTTGGATCTGTACTTTGCTTAAGTAGATTTTACTTTTACTTTACTGCAGCGAGGAAAACATTATTGAAATTTCTGCCTAAATCTTTATCAAAATCATGTGAAGCCTTATAAGACCTCAAAATTAGCATGAAATACTTTTACTTTATACTCTTTAAGGACATTTTTATATGGGTACTTTAATACTTTTATTTAAATTGTTTTTTCAAGTGATTCTTTAACTTCATTATTTTTCTGCTCTTGTATCTGCACTTTTACTAAAATAACAAATTTGAGTACTTCTTCAAACACTGCCAACTGGTGAATGATGACACAAAAAATGATCAGAAGTTTAGTTGTCAAAGTGTACAATTTTACTAGATCTGAAGCTTTTAGGCTAAATTTGTGATCTTGTTTTTTGCAGTAAAAAGAAAAAAACCCAAAAAACTCTCTCTTCTAGATGACTCTCTTCTTAGTCTATCCATTCCTAAAAGGTGACATGGCTGTATTGGATTTGAATGTGAGGGAGTGAGAGATGAGCTGAGTGCAGTAGACAGATGGATGGAGTCTCCTCTGATTTAAGAAGGCCCTGGCTCATAATGAGACACAGATGGTGCACACACGGACAAAGACACAATGTAAACACCCACCACAGGACAGACTTACTCATCATTCTGTCCAATACTGTCCTACTGATCTTAATGTTTATTTAAAGGGCCCGTATGGTGCTATTTTCTGATGTTATAATGTTATTTCTTCATCAAAAACAGACCTGGAGTTGTGTTGTGTTTTATTCACACAAGTCAAATCCTGTTTATTTAAAAGGATGAGTTCTCCTCTCAAACAGAAAATGCTCTGTTCCACCTTGTGATGTCATGTGGTAATACAGGAAGTGCTTCACTGTGTTTAAACTCCATACACCTTCACTAGAATCATCTGGATAATTTCAGACCTGGAAGTGCTAATCTCTAACAAAAGGTAAAATGTCATTATTATCTTCAATACATCACAAGGTGGATCAGATTATTTATAGCTTTGGAGATGTGGAGTGTAGAAAAATGCAGGATTAATGAAACATACTGTATGTGAATGAAACAAAGCACAAAGCACAACTGTTTTTGTGGAAGTAACAACATTTTAACATGGCTAAAAGCTCACACAAGTCAGTTCCTCCTTGAATTTACAATTTCATGAGATACACTATTTGGCTAAAAGTGTACCATAAATTACACATCAGCAAAGATAGCAGCGCAAGTAAACTAAATCTTGTCTGAAATGCTGATGTGATAAGGACAATGTTATATTCACAAGTTACATCATGATTTATCAAAGTAGCTGTTTGCTAAATCGGCTAATTTGCTAAGACAAGGGCGTCAAGATATTAGCAAACACAATATAGGCCTAAATTAATAAAAGAAACAAAAGGAACAAGCTGATAATCTGGCGGGTCACTGCTGGTAAATACATGCATTTAAATCTATAGATCTATCAATCACAAAATATAGCATCAGAATACTTTTGAATGAATGCTAACTTTAGTATTTAGCATATTAAAGTCCCCACTGGTTTAACATTAAGCTAACTGTACTTCCATTTATAGATTGTTATAGAAGATTAGCTAAAAATAATATTTAAGGGTGTAACGATATCCAAGTTTCACGATACGACATTGTCACGGTTTGAATCTCACGGTACGATATTTATTGCGATATCGTGGGAAAGCTCACGATATGGTGGGAAGGCTCATGATTAGGGATGTAGCGCTATCCAAATTTCTCGGTACAATATTTTCACGATATACATCTCAAGGTACGATATTTATTGTGATATTTTGTGGACAAAGCTGCTAATATGCTACTTTTTCCTCTTAAAATGCCTTGACAAGACTTAATCCAAAGAATTAAGACTTAAAAGTGCTTAGAACTGTTATTGCTTCATGTAGTCTGCACTGAAATGGAGCAAAGGATCATGGTCTATGTAGTTTCTTCTGTCTTTTTTTTTTTAGCTATTGCTGCATCATAATAAATTTAAGCAAAATGACTTGTACTGTGATATATTGTGATGGTCTACGATATTATTGTGAGAACTTTGACGATACAATATCACAATATTTTGGTTATTGTTACACTCCTAATAATATTGCATAATTTTAAGTGATGAGAAAAATACTTAAGTCAAAAAATACTACATAATCATTTTAAATTATATAGTATTTTGTAACATATTATGATACATGATGCAATCTGTATTCTGAATATTTTATAGCCTAATTACAGAGTAAAAACATATGATTAAAAGCAGCTTTATGCCTATATGTGTTTCACTGTTTGTTTGTTTGTTTCATTGGAGAAGGAAAAAATCCCACATGCACACACCGCAAGAGCAGTGTTGTCTATTTTTCTCACTAATTCTATGTACTTTGAAGCCTAAATTGCAAATTGCAAATACCACAAAGTATTCCTCTGGTTTTATAAAAGTAACTGCACTCTGAATACCACCAAATGTAACTGTACTGGAATACAATTACTCAAAATTAATATTGTATGTATGTATTTTCATACATGCATTGGTGGTATTGGAAGCCCGATTTTCCTATTAATTACATTGTCCTCTGAAATGTCCAAAAGGTAATGTCACAAATATGGTACTTAACCATTTCTATTAGTAACTTGGCCCTAGTACTGATTATATACAACATTTTATTTTTAGCAGCCCCTTGTCTGTATAAAATAATATAGGCCTATAAAATGTTGTGATATCATCTGAAACCCTGCAATTCAGTTACTTCCAAACACTGACCATTTAACATTCTAACATACAGTATTTGGTATATTTTGGAGGACTTTCAGCTTCATAGCATCCCACCATAAACATCAGCCATTAGCACTGTTTACCATGCAATGTTGTGCCTGGAGAATCCATTGGTGTCTGCCTCCAGCACACGTCTCGATCCATCTGACCACACAGCTCCTCACATAAAGAGAGAGAGCAAGAGAGTGTCTGGGAGCTCTGCAGACATGAGGAGGAGGAGGTCTGAGAATGCTACGGGGGAGAGCGAGACGGAGCACACTGAGAGAGAGGCTAGCTGGAAACTTGCTACTTCAGGGTAATGTAGACCGCATGCTATGGAAAGGAATGCCTGTGTCTTTGTAGGCACATGGAAGAGTAAATGAGGAAGAGGAGGAGGAGAAGGCGGTGGTAGGAGGGATCTAAAGCAGCTTGCAGCGTGGCTCTGTCTCAATGAAAGCTCTCTACTCTTCTGCCTTGGCTACTGCAGTAAGTGAGCACATGTTCCACTCAAGCTAGGAGTAAACATTGGATTTTTGAATTCAGTTGAAGATTTTGAGCTCTAGGGAGTCTTCGAAGACCTTGGGGCGATATATTTTGGCTCTGAACTGAAGCTGGCCAACATTATCCTCACTGGACTGCTATCACATGACTTTTGTTGACACATAGTTCTACTGTGATGTGAGGAGGTTTTTGGAGTCGCGGGCAGGTGTGATGCTGGGTCACTCCTCTTGAAAGACAAACAGTTAAGAGCCTTAAAAACTAGAAAACACACCAAATGGGGTCATCAACTTCTCATCAGGGCTAGCTTCCTGTGTCACACCTGTACTTCAAAACACTGTGTAAAATGTGAATGCTTTCTTTCACTGACGTTACTTCTCGAACTTTTCTTGGCAAGGTGGATTTTTCACTGATCTGTGAGAACTTTTCCTCCTCCAGTCATGAGCTTTGAGGTTTACAATGTGCTCCTGACTGTCCAGCTCTTGCTCCTCCACACCTGGCATGGGAGCTGTCATCCTCAGTGTTTAGACTACAAGCCTCCATTTGGGCCCCGGCAGCCCCTGGTCTTCTGTAAGGAGTACTCCAAGTTTGGATGCTGTGACCTGGAGAAAGATGAAGCCATATCGCTCAAGTTCCAGAATATCATGGCAAGCTTTGACCATTCAGGCTTTGTCACCTGTGGCAAGTACATACGCAGCATCCTCTGTCAGGTATGATATGCCAATTGTATGTGGATGTCCTCCCCATAAGAATGTACAGTAATAATGAAGATTTTCAACAGGGCTAAAACAATAGCTGTAGCTTTAAAGACAATTTAACAGATGCAAATTTTTCAAATGATTTTTGTAAAGGTGTATGAAGTTTAAAAACACAGTGGAGCACTTCCTGTATTATCACTTAATGACATCAGAAGGTGGAACAGAGTGTTTTCAGTTTGAGAGAAGAATAGCTAAATATGCAGGATGTGTGTGTTAAACATGTGTGAATGAAACAAAACACAACTTGAGGTATGCTTTTGATGAGAAAACAATATTATAAAAACTACATAATATAGGCCCTTTAAAGTACACATGACACATACTACTCAAAGTTACTAGTTACTACCTAATGTTCCTAGTTACACAATTGTAGCATTTTAGGTAATTCTTTTACACAAAACACTTTAAAGCTGAATTAAGTGTTATTTAAGCCTACAACTTCTTGAGTAATGTTTGAGTCACTCATGCCTTAGTAGATGCTGACTTGGCACAGCTTATGTGCAGACTGCCAATGAAAGGACGCAGTAGGGGTTTGGTTCTGAGAATGAAATAACCCATGCTAAAATCTCTGAAAACTTCACCCAAAACTCCCTGAAAGGTTGCGTCATGCTCCATAAAAAGGTGCTGACAAATCCTTTGACCTTAAAGTGTAGGTTTCTCTCATTATAATTACAGAGCTGAAAATCTTTTCTCTTTTCTGAATGCTGGAAAGAGCATGCTGCAGTGCACGTAGGACTGGGCACACTTTGTGTTTTGGTGTAAAAAGTAGCAGAAAGCATCAATTATAGTAAAATAATCTTTTAAATTATGCATCTATACTCATAAAACTTTGGATCAGTTGGAGCGCTGCTTTTGATGCTTATTTCCTTTATTATTAGATGCATAATGTAGCAGTCTCATTTTATCATAAATACAATATGCTTTGGGAGAACTCAAAATGTGCTCATTTCCCAAAAAAAGTTGAGCACTCCAGCTGTAAGAATGATTCAGTCTTTGTAATACCCTATCCCTAACTCCTAACCCTTTCATTAAATAAGCACTAAGCTTGAATCATTCTTAAATCTAAGTTCTAAGTCGTAATGTGTATTTATTACAAAATAATGAATACTATATTTCTTGGTAAAATAATGTGCGCAGTCTAGTACAGTAGATTATATAAGTCAGTTCAAAGCTATTCAGTTGGAGCCTTACTCATGCTGCTCACAGTGGTATAGAGGTTAAAGAGGCCCAGGAGGTGGTCAGGTTTCCCCGCTGCCAGGGCACTTATCAAGGGTAAACTCTTCAGACTGAGCCCCTCTGTACTCAGAGCCCCGCTGGAGCTTCCTGGCCCACTCTACTATCACTGAAACAGCAGAGACGGACAGAGAGAGAGGAGAAAAGATGGAGAGAGCAAAGAGAGGAGAGAGGGTTTTCTTCATCCCAGAGCTTAACTGAGCAAACAAACAACCATTTCCTCCATGGACTGGAGACAGGATATATTCAGTTCCTACCACTGAGAGACACTCACACACTTCACTTATTATATAAGAATCAAATCTGTGTCAGGTGGTCAGGTGCATTTAGTAATTAAAGAATGCTAATTTGTATTACTTTACACATATATCCAAATAAAACATATTGTGTTACTTTGGTTGGGTTTGGTTAAACAACACTGATACTGAGGTCTGCAGTATTTACTGTACAGTGTTTTGGCTTATTTGTAGAAGGTTGTGCAGGTAGTTTAACAAAGAAGTAATGTTGTTAAAAATATATTTCTGTTATATGTGGCAGAATTTACAGGCTTATCCAGGTGAGCATCAATTGGTGATAATAGTGCACCACTAAAATGAATGGTACACTATGTAACTTTTCTGGTACAGGGTCCATCACCTGCATGACTGTGGGAATGTTATTGCTTTGTCTAGAATATTCCACAGCATGGCATCAAACATATCTATCAAGGACCAAATTACAGGTCAGAAGTGGCGAGGCAAGTCCACTCACAATTTTTTGCAATAATGCACTGAATGCGAGATGGGTTTAGTGTCAAACATTCATCAAAGCAATAACATCTTTACATATTGTACATTTAAGTCAAATTGAACTTAAATTTAACTGTATATGTCACACAATTTTCATTTTCAGTTTTTCATTTTCAGTTTTTCTGACCTTACATAATAGTTTTATGTGAAGGCATCATTCACAAGTAGATAATGTTTCCACTTCCAACACTTGATGATTAATTTCTTAAGTGGCAAATAAGAGCCATGCACTATTTTGGAAAAACGAGTTAAATCTATTTTCTTTTAAGGCCAGATCCAGGTACAGAAGAACATCCATCATGTGTTTAACATGAGTCCACTCTAAACTAAATCAGATCCACATGAACAGTGAGAACAAACTTAGTAATTTTGCTGAATGTAGCTTTGGTCTCTGTTAAACTGCTGAGTAAGTCATAACAGCATTGTTCACAACAGCTGTTAATAGTTACATTTTCTCATTGGACATGTTTAGATAATTTCCATTTCCCAAATTTAAGACAGAAATCCAAATGTACAGAGTCATCTACTCTATGTATCAGGCATCCATCTGGGGCTGGAAATGTGCTGGCCAAAGCTGGAGCAGAACAGACCATTGTTTGCCCTGTAAAGCTAAAGCTGTTTCGCAGACCCCTGATGTCTGTCCAATAGACTTTCATGTTGGTTAATTAACAAAGCCTGCTCATGTTCAGTCTAATGCGGTAATGCTGAAGAAATTTTGTAATGACAGTCTGGATTTGTAAAAAGTATTTGTCTTCAAGGTCGTAGAGCTATAATAGGCTAAAATAACTTTGCTGTTTATTTCAGCAAAATATTTAAATGTGTTTAAGACTGTCCCCCTCTGCAGAACTGAAACTGTCCATTTCCACTAGTTTACATCAGAGACCATTTATTCACTATGACGTATCTTCTTAGCAACTTTAAAGCTAGCTGCTATTATTCTGAGTCTCTAACTGTGTGACATCAGAAGGCTCTGGGAGTCAATGCGACCACTGCTGGCAACAGTGGGAATAAATTTAAATGATGACTGGTATTGTTCCATGGATAAATATTCAAAGACTTTTTCGTGTTCTAATTGACACATACATATAATCTACCGCATAATATAAAATTATATGTATAAAAAAACAAAAAAACAATATCCTGTCAAATTCAACCCAAGTTTACTTTGCAGTTTTCCACTACATAAAGTCTGACTGGAGGCTTTGTAGACCTTTTTTTCTAAGCTAGTAGTTATGGTTCAGTCTAGTTCACCCAAAGTTACCTCAGTTCTAACTCACCTCCTACGTAAAGACAAGGCTGTGGTCAGTGAGACAGTTCAAAGCTTGGTCCACATGATGAACTGTCCTGGATACTCTGTGGGCTGCTCTGGGTGTGGACAGTGTGGTCAAGCCTTAATAACTGACTTACTTTCCAAGTATCCCTTTATATAAGGGACACTAAATGTATACGCGACTGACAGTTGTAAGGGGAGTAGAGCTTCTATGAGAAATACATATCATAGAAAGGAATATACTTTCTTTATTCACAAGAAGAAGAAGTCATGTCCTGACAGGGGTCACTAACCACATTTCCACATGCTCCTCCCTCTACCAAATGTAGCCTCTCTTATGTAACAAGCAGTTTTGTTGAGCAATCATCCATTTTGTCTGTGATTTGTTAGAGGTGTTTGTTTACCGGCACAACAGCCACAAGCACATTTAGCTGCAGTATACTGTATTTATAGCAATAGGCGATAGTGACACTTAAAGGCCCAGTAACGTTTTAGCCAAAAAATAGACTAAAATAAATGCTTTCTTTATTACACGAAAAAAATTGCAAAAACATCCTTCCTACTGTGAGCAGACTTGCATTTCCACAATTATGGCCTTTGGCTAAAATATTCCACAGTGTGGCTTATCTCTTCAGAATGTTTTGAAGTATGGTTTTAATTTTTTATGTCTACGGAATCATGCAAGTGACGTGCTGCCTCCAGAAAGTTACACATTGTTAAAAAAAAAAATAAAATCTGTCATACAATCTTCAAAGTGTCTGTGTCTGTCAAGTCATTAAAAAGTACTTTGTATGTGATTGCAGGAGTGCTCTCCCTATGCAGCCCACCTGTTTGATGCAGAAGATGCCAACACACCCATGCGTCTGCTGCCTGGCCTGTGTAAGGACTATTGCCTGAACTATTGGAACCAGTGCCGTTACACCCTAAGCCTGCTGCTGGAGGACCAGGGCAGCCCATATCTGCACTACAACATGACGTCTATGTTAGAGGAGGACAGCAAACTCTTCTGTGACTTCCTGGTGCTCAAAGACCGCCAGTACTGCTACCCCAATGTCCTGAGCAATGAAGGTATGAGCAGGAAAGCACCATATGAAATCCTATTTCTGCTGTTTATTTGATTGTAACCCTAAGTAGTAGTAGACTAAGCACGTTTTGTTTTTTGCTTAATAAAAAAGGAAGTAAAGATTTGCCAGAAAATTGCTGCAATCCTGAATCAAGTGCAGTGCCAAACAGAGGCTGGCTTCCATTTTTCAAACATATGAGCAATGGACTATTTCTGATTGCTTAAGTGAACACTAAAAGTTACATAATGTGTGACGCTGATGGGTTTCAGATGATATACCGGCATTTCATAAGCCAATAATATTAATACAGATGCTATGTTAACATGCAGACTTTTAATATAGAAAGTTCTAATTAAAATGATCAGGTTCAACATTTGTAAATTTACCTTTTAGATATTTCTGATTAAATTACCATGTAATCAATATGGAAAACTGCCTCTTGCGTCCGATCTTTGAGTATTACATCACATTCTAGCTTCTGAAAATCACTATGCTTATTTCCCCCAGAGCTGAATGCTAACCTGGGGTCTGTGCGAGAGGACCCTAAAGGCTGTCTGGAGCTGTGTTTGGAGGAGGTTGCTAACGGACTGCGTAACCCTGTAGCTATGATCCACGCTGATGACGGCTCTCATCGCTTCTTTGTGGCCGAACAGCTGGGGTACGTATGGGTCTACCTGCACAACGGCTCCAGGATTGACAGACCTTTCCTCAACCTCACCCAGGCTGTGCTCACCTCACCCTGGACTGGAGATGAGAGGGGGTTCCTCTGCATCGCCCTGCACCCACGGTTTGTGATATTATCAGATATGGTCCAATAACATTTACTATGTTCTCTTTTTGTTATCATTTGCTTGTTGTTATTGTGCGCTTCAGGTTTAGCACGGTGAAGAAAGCCTATGTTTACTACTCTGTGTCAGTGAAGAAGAAGGAGAAAATAAGAATCAGCGAGTTCACACTTTCAGCGCATGATGACAACCAGCTCGACCACTCCTCTGAAAGGTGAGACATTCTCAAACAGGGCAGTGGACAGGGGGAACAAAGGGGTCTGCTGTCTCAGGGCACAGGGTTTAGGGGCCCAAAATTTGACCCTCTTCCTATTACTTAATATTAGAAGGAGGTCCATGTGAGACTTTGTGTCCCAAGCTCCCAAAATTCTATCCTGGAATACGAAACTACATACAAAATACAACACTTTAAACACAATATTTCGTCTTATTAGGATTTGTAGAGGTGTATTATCTAAAACACATAACTCAACTGCTCAATGTGTCAAAATGATCATGTTTGTAAGTGCCATTTGGAGTACTTTTCAACATGCAAAAGATAGATTGTTTAGAATTGTTAATTGCTATGGCATATAATAATAATAATCCTCAATCTGTTTTTGTTTAGGACCATCCTTGAGGTAGATGAGCCAGCGTCCAATCACAATGGCGGCCAGCTTCTGTTTGGTCATGATGGTTATCTGTACATCTTCATTGGTGATGGGGGGCGTGCTGGTGACCCTTTTGGAAAGTTTGGCAATTCACAAAACAAGTAAGAATCAATTTTCAACACTATAAATAATTCTAGTTCACTTAATGCAATCATATACAATTTGTCAGAATCAGTTGCAAGTAGTTCCTTGAAAGATCTGATTTAGTTGTCCCCAGACACTGTCACTTGTATATGGCGGGTGTTGACATGGTGCATTAGTCATTCTGGGAAAGTTGGGGGATACACCCAGCCAAGTCTAATATTGACTCTACACATTGCGGGCAGCCACACACTGCTACAGGCTGCACTGGGGAAAACGTGCTGAAGGTAAAAATTATCTGTCTGTCTGTGCTTAAGGTCCACTCTTCTGGGCAAAGCGTTGAGGATCGATGTGGACAATAACGATGATCGAGAGCCTTACAGCATCCCATCTGACAACCCTTTTGTGGGGGAGAAGGAATCTAAACCAGGTATGTTTATGGTGGTCCAGATTTCTTACAAAAATATGCATAATCACATATTAAGTGTATGGTGTATAATGTATATATAAAGACATCTCATGCATAAAATGTAATAAAACAGCAAAATGACACTGAAAATGTTTAACTTGAATCACAATTTACTCCATATATGACCCAGTACATATAGGACACGACATTGCCTGATCTTGTCTGGGTCTGGTTAGCATTTTGGAGTCCACTGGAAAAATCAGGTGCCACAGAGGAGCATCAATTGTCTAGTCTGAATGTGGTTGTCTGAGGGACAAGGTTGGCAATGTTTGCAGTCTATGCCAGGGCAGCTGTGACTACAATAGTTTTTTGTCACCATCGATTATGGAATGAAAAAATAATACATACAACTATAAAGCAACTTTGAGAGTCTGGAAATGACTGGAAAATACTGAACTCAAATAATAGGACTGTTACTGATAATAATATTGCTCAAGTCAAATGGTATATGTTATATAGTTTCTTCGGCTGATGGTTAATAATCTGCTGTGTTCATAGAAATATATGCCTATGGAGTCCGTAACATGTGGCGCTGCTCCATTGACCGTGGTGACCCAGTGACGGGCAGCGGCAGAGGCAGGATGTTCTGTGGAGACGTGGGACAGAACAAATTTGAGGAAGTGGACATCATAGAGAAAGGTATGAAACAATCTCTGTTAATTATTGTAATTATAGTAGATTTGGATGATTTCAGTCCTGGAATTGCTGGCCTCTACTGAACAAAAGGTAAAAGGTAGCTATGGATGCACTGATATTGATACTGGTATCGAATATTGGCGCTGATCCAGGAATATTTGCTGGATCGAGTAATGGCTCCATGATATCCTTTCAGTTGATATCCTGGTTGTGCCTTTAAGTGGATGTAATAAGACTATTATACTGACTGATGTCAGCCCAGAAAGTCTCATAATGTTTGAACTTTTATTCATACAAAGCTGTTCAGTAGTTACTTGAAGGATAAATAATAGGATAACAGTTAGATAACACAATTGGATAAATCCCTATACTGGTATTGGTTAATATTGGATATCGACAAATACATAAAGCCACAGTATCAGTATTGGTATCAGAACTGCAAAAGCTGGATCACTGATTCTAACATGGCTTAAAGCTCTTAAGAATCTAGTTTATGTAATATGGGACATTTGAATAATTTGTATTTACTGTGCATTAAAGTGGCTCATATGTTTGACAGGAGGGAACTATGGCTGGAGAGCAAAAGAGGGCTTCAGCTGCTATGACCGGAAACTCTGTCAGAACTCGTCTCTGGGTGAGTCCAGCACTGGGGCCCTTTCACTGATGTTCACTTTAAAGTCAGATTTATCACTGCTCTTAAAGAGAGCTGAGTACAGATGTGCACTTGAGCCTTTAACATATGCTCTGAGAAGTAGGGGATGGATGCAGTCTGTAGCCAGTACTGATCTTTACTCTTTTTAGTCAGAAAAAAATCTGACACTTCTGTGTTAAGTTTTAAGGGAGGGCCCAATACGGATTTCTTTTTTCAGCCAAAAACAATATCCCATATTGGTCTTTATGTTGCACCTAATATTTACTGATATTAATGTTTTTAAATCTACGTATCTAGTTATAAGGCCCACAAACTTTAGCAAAGTAAATTTCAGAAATACAAATTAATGATTTATTTTTCCCTATTTACATTTTTATTCTCTAGTTTATTTAAAAAGACACCTCTGATGCTAATAAGGACAAAGATTCTGCTAACTACCTCCCATAACAAAATATTGAAATAACGGCTTGATTTCAAAATAAGAAGGCTAATTTTGTGTCTTTCTTGCATTATCTTTTTTTTCTGCAGATGACATACTACCTATCTTTGCGTACCCTCACAAACTGGGCAAATCCGTGACGGGGGGGTACATCTACCGGGGCTGTCAGATGCCAAACCTCAATGGGCTCTACATTTTTGGAGACTTTATGAGCGGGTATGTGTTTCAATTTTTAACATTTATCTTTCAACATGGCAAGTACTTAACATTATGTAATTACTAGAATACATAATAACATGTCATTTTGTTTGTAGACGTCTGATGTCTCTGAAGGAAAATGCCCTGACAGGTGAATGGCAGTATAATGAGATCTGTATGGGGCGAGACCAAACCTGCCGCTTCCCCAAACTCATCAACAGCTACTATAAGTATATCATCTCCTTCGCTGAGGATGAGGCAGGTAAGGACCGCAAGTGGATGGAATTATCCTCATTATAGCTATGATCACTTGTTTTTCATTATGTTGTCAAATTTTGAACCCTACAAGAATCCTGAGTGTTCCAATTTGAAAACACATTTTTTTTAAAAATAGTCTTAAGTCTGAAAATAAGCCACAAATCAGCTATACGTTTTCAGAATGGTGATATGACTGTTCAGTAGCTTTAAATCTTCCTTTCATTACCTTCATTAGATACAGTTGTATTAGGCCTACAGAGTGGTTTGATTCTACAATTTTCTATAGGACAATAATATTTAATGGAGTTAGGAGAGAGGTGAAATTGATAATGTTACTGTAATATCCTTTTGCTTAAAGTGGGACTAAACACCTGAACTCTTCCCACACCCACATTTTAAATAGAGCTGCTAACTTGGGCAGTCCCTGGAGGACTAAAAGGTGATTGGTCAGATCTATACTTTAAAATTCGCCCCTCCAGCCAGGTGTTTGTGATTAGGATCACCTGACTGCAATCTGGACAATCCTGCGTGATGTCACATAGTACTTGAAACTGCACTGTCCATTGGAAGCAGCACACACTGCCACTTTATACTGTTTTTGAACAAAAAGCTGCAGCTTTATCTTGTCTACACTAAAATAGCCAAAAAGTGACATGGAACAGACAATGATAACATCATATTCTGTAAGTTCATTTGCAAAAAAAGTGTATTTAGTGTTTAGTTTGACTTTAAAAATACTGTAGTGAGTTCATGCATGCATCCGGGAGTATGACATTGTCACAATACAACAAATATATAATGCAAAGACCACTCTGGCATAAGGCATCATTAAAGAAGTTAGACTTATAATTGTGTGAAATGAAGCTAAATTGTAAGTGGACAAGAGCAGGTTATGAGAGACAAAAACACTTCTTTCTTGCATAAAACCCCCCCAAAACTTTAGTCTTCCCATTTTCAAAGCAACAAACAGTAGTAATTTTAGCTTCCCAGTCTCTTCCAATTGAAGAAGACAGCACTAATTACTGGGCACTTTGTCTGTTTCAAACACATGATTTGACTTAATGAGCATCCTTTCTTTGTTCAAACTTTCCCTTACAAATGTTTTTTAAAATCTGTTTTCAGGGGAATTGTACTTCTTGGCTACAGGCTCTCCCAGCGCTACAGCCAGAGCAGGAGTCATATATAAAATAGTGGACCCATCTAGGTAACTAGTCAGTTGTGTGTGTACTATGATGGGATCATCTAATGATAAGAGATGCCTGTATTCATTCATTTGTTTTCTTTCTAGGCGTGCACCTCCAGGAAAGTGCAGTGTAAAGCCTTCCCCTGTCAAGATAAAAGGAAAACTCATTCATTTTCATCCTAAGGAAGGTAAGAATATACCAGTGTTTAGATTTGACTTTTTTCTGCTACTGTAAGCACTACATTTAGCCAACCCCCAAAGGGTTACCTGCATAATACATTGTGATACAGACCTAAAATACATGTTCCAAAGTTTATTAAAGCTCTGGAATTTTTGTGTTAAATATATCCATGTGAATGACTTACTGTGGCCCTTGTCTGCAAACATTTGCAGCAATCTGTGGATATGTTTGGACAAAAACATACAAAAATCCTGCTATACAAAAGAGCAGATTTGGTTCGCTGTTAGGGCAAGGGAGAGATGCTGCACTGACTTTGTTTTTAGAGAAAACATTGCCATCTACTGGACTCACAAATTTACTACAGATTTTTATTTTTAGACTCACATCTTGAGGTTTATCTGTGTAGCTGTAGACGGACTATAGGCTAAAAATATGAAAAATATAAGTTTGCGCTACATAATAAACTCAAATGTATCTCTCATTCATAGATTTTTTATCTCTTCTACTTTCAGAGTTTGTAATTGACAAGAAGCCCACCACAACTCCTGTCCCCACCACAACGAAAAGCACAACAACCACCACAAGAAGACCCCCACCCCCCTTGAAACCCCCCGTCTTTAAACCCACACCCCCGCGCCGGAAGCCCAAAACAACAACTGTCCCAACTACGACCAGGGCTCCGACCAAGAGTCCAACCCAAAAACCTACCACCATCACCACCACCACATTACCTCCGACCACTGAGACCAAAGCTGCCCCCAGCACAGCCACTGGTAGACCCCACTCTCCCCTTGATCTCCCCGCTCCCCCCACTCTCAAGTCCACCGTTCATGCCTCAGACAGGGCAGGCCCCACCATGACACGGGGCGGAGGTGAGAGCCTTAAGCCAGAGAGAATCCTGCTCCTCTCTGCAATCATTTGTGTTTTTATTTACAGATTTTAGAACAAAGGTTTCTTACTCTGTAATCAAAGTGTAAGTAGAACCAGGTAGTGGCTAGTCAATTTTGCAAGGCAGCTGAATTTGTAGATATACTGTAGATTTAAAGGGAGGCATTTTTGTTTTCCCATTATTTAATTGCAATTGTTAATTGTTAATTAATTTGTGACCATTTTAATACTTTATCTCTTTCGTTTTCATTGTTCTTTGTAAAACCCCCTAATTCGTCAAACAAACAATGTTATATGACTACCTACACATAGACTTTGTAACAGGAGGTTAGAGAAAGCAAAGAAGGCAGGAAGTGGGTGTGGCAGCTTATTGACAGCAGAACTTGAAAGACAACAGCACTTTTTCTGTTTTAGGATCACTAGTGGAGAGAAGATGAGTACTTACAGTACTGAACACATTTTGATCAGGCACTTTTAACAAATACAGCTTATCAGCAGAATCCACTGAAAGGGCTGGAGGTGGTAAGCACTTATTACACATTCATGAATAGGTTTTCTCTGTGGTACTAATTACTTTAAGATTTACAATTATTTTATTATTACTGCACTTAAAAGTCTAAAAAAACCAAGACAGTTTTGAAATGCAAGACAATATTGTAAAACTCAGGTACAGTGGAATTACCATCTGTCAGTGATCCTTAACTGTTTACTCGATGGCTGGCCCACAGAAAAATAATTAATGTGCTTTTTATGTAAGTTGATTGCACTACATTATTTAAATTAGGTATCAAATTTATTTAAATATTAAATAAATCTTTCTACTTCAGTTTTTGCTTGGACATTGTTTTTTGTGTCTGTGTCTAAATTTTTTAATATAGGGGATGATGATTTATTTGTAAATATTAAGAAAAAATACCTTGGCAAAAGATATATAACAGATAATATCAGATATATAACATTTGAACATGCAGTTCATTCAAGTTAAGAGTGGTTCTGTGTGTCCCTCAGGTGTGCTGACCACAGCTTCACCTAGGACTAGCCCCCGCACCTCTACACCACCTGTGTCTGGGACAACCCCCCGGCCGCCATATTGGAACCCAAAACCTACATCAGCTTTGCACAAAACTACCAGAACTTCACCTGACAGCACCCAAATATCAACCAAAGAGGACAAGGTACGACTTGGAGAGAAGCTGGCTGATACTCGCGAGGGCAATCAGATCTACAAAAAGCCCCGGCGCAGAGGACACAGGAGGGGTAAGAAGCTGCGGGCGGGCTCTGTACGCCTCATCAGTGCAGATGGTCTACCGGACAGGGGCAGAGTGGAGATCTACATCCGCGGAGAGTGGGGGTCAGTGTGTGATGACCTCTTCACTAGAGCGGCTGGTACTGTGGTGTGCAGACAGCTGGGGTACAGCAGTGCTAGAGCAGTCATGAAAAGAGCCATTCTGGGAGCAGCTGAGGACGATGTTAAAATACAACTGGACAATGTTGAGTGTATGGGAACTGAGGGTTCACTACTGGAGTGCAAGAGGTCCAAAGTAGGAGTACATAACTGCTCACACAAGGAGGACGTGGGGGTCATCTGTGGCTATGAGGCTTAGTTCAAATTGGTTCTATAATGTTTAGTTGGCCTTGTTAGACTTAGAGCACGTGCATCAAATTGTTGCCCTTAGTTTAAATCATGTGCCCTATAAATATAAAGTTAAAATGGCCATTGTAAGCAGCATAACTGTAGCTGGGTTACCAGTGGCTTCAAGGGGCATGATAATTAAGACAATAGTAATTGCTGAAACAAAATTAACCTGTTTTTGCATTATCGATAAATCTGGCTTGCAAAAATTGCACATTTTTTCATATTTGGGGTTTTATATGAAATGTAAATGTTTTACTATGGAAATATTTTTATGAATGTATTTTTAAAAGAAAAACACATAAATGCTGAGCATTGTGCACAATGAATGTAAAAGTTTAGCAGACACCAATTTGTAGTAAAATGAATAAAGCAGACTCAATGACTGAATATATCCTCCTTTTAATTATTCATGAGTGAAGTGTCTCAAAACAGTCCTTACGTTTGTCCATTAAACAAATATGTGAGGACAGTCCACTAGAGTAATTGAAATACATGTTCAAAACTACATAAAAGTCTGTTAGTGTCTTTAGTGCCCAAGCGATGATCCAACAAGCATCATACTTTATGAAACATAATGGAGCCCAGTTTTGGAGACGTGGTCAAATCCAAGAATGTAAAAGTGAAGTAGAATGTGTTTTGAGGTGAGGATGTCCAGCTGTGGACCTGATTGACAGGACTGTGAGCTCTCACACATATTGTGAACAGACTAAGAGACTTAAGTTGCATGAATCAAAGAGACATACAGCGGCCAGATGCACACTGCAGAATTAAGCCAGCAATGAAGAGTGTGCTGAGCTTAAACAGTCATCATACAAAAGACTGCTCTCGGCCTGGAATGATTTAAAGGAGGGAGAAGATGTTGCATTATTGAATCTTAACGTTGCACAACAATGGACAAAAATGACAAAAATGCTGCTTGACACTACTAAATGTAGTTTTTGACTGTATTCTGTGCTTCCCAAAACATTTCCCCCCGCTCAGCATATAGGTTATAAAAACTGTAATGCAAAATAAAAACACAAGGTGGAGCCATAATCCTGGGCTGGGTTGAGTTGTTAATGGTCTGTTTTAAAGGGTAGCTAGTCATCATCAGTGTTAATGACTAGTGTGATTGAAAGAAATTTATTTGGATATTATAATAACAATATATTATTATTATAACTTAATGTAGTATTCAAATGTGTATATTATGTCCATTTTGAATAATAAATATGCCACATATGCAAAGGATAATTTGTACAAGATTTTACCCATACACTATGTTATATTATTCCATTGCAACAACAGCATATTTTAAAGAGAAAATGCTGAGAAATTGCTATAGCCCTGGATTTGATGGGATTCAGGAAAGAGACTCCCACAAGAATAAGGAGCTGCATGCATGAATTAGCACGTACGCTAGCTCACACAAACACAGACACATTCCTCCAGTGCCCCGGCCTTTATTCCTTATTTAGCTCCTGCCTCGTCCCATCTCTGCCCTGTCACACATGGACTATAGCTTTGACTACAACGTGAGGGAAAGAAAGGTCAACTATAAGCACAACTCAGTATGTTTCTGAAATGAATGTTATCTTAACTTTAAAAGCATTATGGTTTAGTTTTACTTGATTGCATTAACCTTCTAAAGAACAGCAGATTTAGTCTGAGCTCCTCCCCGACTAGTCCATATCACTATCCGCTCTTTATTGTATTGTCCACTGGGCACAGGATACTAATTTAAATCACTTAAATACAAGAGAGTATTGGCTTATGACTATGTACCATGCAATGTTATCTTAGGATTCAAACCCACAACCTCCTGACTATAATGGTGACCAGTTGACCAAATATTACTTTTCTTATGTGTAACGCAGGAGATTTTTTTAAAATACATGCCTAGATTGGCCACTGCATTTAAGTTCTCCTGGAAACAACAACAGTGCCAGGGGTCATCGATTCTGCTCTGTTTCCTAATGGAATCTTTTATGGGTCAGTTTGGTGCCAGCTTTGGAATAAGATTGCTTTCTTTGTGTATTTACTGCAAAGACTGAAGATGCATGCAGTTTGAAATATGCTGTGCCATAAAAAAAGCTATTCAATTGACTCCTGGTGGATAAGACCTAAAGTTAAATCAGAAAAACAATTATGATCAATGTGTGCAGTGTTTTTTCTTTTTTTTTGTGTGTGGAGGAATTCAATATAGTCACTAGAAAATGTGTGTTATGAGGCAGAGAATAGAGACGCCTGCATTGCATCGCAGCTAAATGTAGAGTTGTTTTTTTCTTTCTCCCTGTGGCCTGCATTGTCAAGCTAATGATAAATAAACCAGTGCCGTTTCCCAAAGTCTTACCATACTATTTTATAAACCAGATGTACAATAGGCTTTTAGTCAGTACTGGTAGATGTATACACCTATCAACAACAGTTAAAGGTGCACTGTGAACTTTCTTAATGGGGTATGATCTGTAACTTGGGTGTCATCTGTTTGTCTCCATGGAGATAGATGGGGCCTATGTTTTACTATCCCAGGGAAAGCAACAACATCTCCATGGAGACAATCATGAAGGATTTAAGTGGCAGTAGTATGAAACTAGCCAGGCTGGTGCCACCTAGTGCCTTTGCTTAATTTCATTTCTCTCCAGCGACTAGGTCAGGAATTGGAACACACTAGACGGTTTGCAAGTTGTAGACTGCGCACCGGCCAATCAGTAAAGAGCTGTGAAGCCGTGTCTGGGTCCATTTTGTGGTACAGCACAACAGTAAACAAATCAGTCGAGATGGATGGAGATGAAGCCATACATTCTGTGTTGTGTCCTGAGATTAAGGATTTAAAGCTGGAACAAAGAGAATGTTTGGTGAATTTTATCAAGGGAAAAGACGTTATTGCCCTTCTTCCTACAGGATTTGGCATATTATGTATGTCACGACCAAATAGCAGAGATTGATTAAATAAAAAAAGTACCCGCCTACCATCAAGCGAATAAAGTGAAACCGGCTGCTGAATCAGGCTTGCATGAAACTTGATATTAGTATAAGTTTAATTTATGCAGAATCTTCAGTGATAAATACGGAATATCCCTCTCGACATCTGTTTCCATGTTGATCCTTTATGGTTTCCCACTACTCCTGGTAGGTTTCTGCATTAACTTTGAAGGATCAAAGCCAAAACACATGGGGACTAGTCTGTTAAGTCAATACAGTCCTAAAACCCACAAGATCTATCCTCAGCATTCATTCACTTCTGTTATGTAAAAACCTCATGCAAATATAATAGCATTTAGAATCATATTTCTTACATATTTTGTGATTTCAATGTGTTGAATCCCATTACTCAGAACTCTACCTAACGATGTTCTATACTGTAACACTCTCATTATACATACGCTTGAGTATGCAGTGGAGGCAAAGTGCTTTCTTAACAGCAGTAAATGCGTCCATCATAGGATTACGTTGAACTGGCTTGATGTTGACTGAATGTGGCGAGTGACCATAGAGTGTGATGCAAGGCGCGCACATGCAGGCTATAGAGACCAATACGGTGGTACACCACGGCGCTCCTCTAACCACACAGCATGTTTGATTAAGATCACTGAATATGGCCCACTTCCCATCTATGACTTCTCTTCCATCTTGGTCCGAGTCATATGGTGAGCCACGCCGAGTGATGAGAACGCTAGTGACAAGCGTGCACAAAGACATGAACTTTTCCCCCGGTACAGTATATAAGAAATGTATCAGCCCACTCATCCGGCCTACTGTACAGAAGGCACATAGTGTAAATATTGAATTCACTATCAATTTACTGTTGTCTAAACTGCAGAATGGCCACGGAATGCATATTTTATACACTGATGTGAAAGGACAAACTGGATGTAAATGTCGTGGTATGTCCATTATTCTCACTTACTGAATATTTCAACAAAGTCAAGATGAAAGTGTATTCGTTTGTGTGTACTTTGAGCATATATTCACAGTAGGGTCATTCCTAAGCACACTAGAAGCATTTGAGAGTGGTTAAATACACCAAGGGATAGACCTAAGATACAGTAGTTCAAGGCTCAGACTCAAACTGGGCATGCTTATATCTCTAACCTCTCTAACAGTAAAATCAGTAAAAAGCATACATTAGGGTTCACATTTTTGACCTGTCAGGAGCAGGAGGTATTGTTGTAGGTAGAATCTCTGACAGATCATTTGGTAGGCTGTGAGGTAAACCAGAGCGCCCAGAGGAAACCCACCCAGACTAAGAAAGATCTTACAAGTCACAGACAGGTGCCATAATCTACAATAAACCCTGGACAATAAGTCAGCTAGTAAACAATTATGCAACTACTATCAGATTTTACTAAAAATATAGATCTAAATCATCCTATATTACACAAAATGTACTCTTGTGAGGTGTGTGAAGTTGAAAAACACAGTGGAGCACGTCCTGTATTGCCACATGACATCACAAGGTGGAACAAAGTGTTTTCTGTTTGAGAAAAAAAAACTCATATGCAGGGTTTATGTGTTACATGTATGAATGAAACAAAACACACTCTGTGTAATATGGGCAACAAAATTCCTCTGGGTTTACATTGACATTTCATGACAATTTGATAACAGGTTTCAGCAATTACTTTGATGGATGATGTTTTTACTCAATATATTGTTGTAAATAAATGTCATGAAAGGCAGTTACCAAATTGAATTAGAAAGCAGCTGATGCAATTCTAACTTTTTCTGGTGTAGGCTTTGTCATCTGTAAGGATTTTATTGCTTTGTCTACATGCTCCACAGTATGACTTTTTTTTTTTTTTTTTTTAACAAATCTGCAGAAGGGTCTGCCACCTATTGCTTTGCCTTGAATGTTCCACATTATGACATTAAACTAATCTAATTTTTTTGCTAGAATAAAAAAAAACCCTGCTTGGTTCCACAGAGATAGATCCATGTCATAATCCAAAAACATTAATTTTGTGTTCTTTTATACATTAACTTATATTATTTTTTAACAACAATACATTAGGGCATGTATTTAACTTGTTGACATGTTTCGGCTGCTAGATATATCTTCAGGATTGTCACTGGTGTTTGGTGATGGCGCGACGTATATCAGCTGTTGTTACTTCATGTAGTCATGGTCGCCTGATGGACCTGGCAGGTCGCTCAGACAGAGCACGCCCACCTGATCCAGCTTTGAACTACAGCGTATGGATTGTGACGGGGCACGGGTCATTGGATCAGAGAACAAGTTCAAACAACCTGCCAGGTCCATCAGGCGACCATGACTACAGGAAGTAACAACAGATGATGTATGACCTGTTGTAGTTTCAGCTAACTGAGCTCTTTCTGGTCAAATTGTGTTAAAATAAAGCACAGATTAAAGTTTAATGAAGCTTTAGACAAAGCAGAGCTTAGTTA